ACCTGCAAGAGAGACACCTCGGAGAAGCTCCGGGTCAATAAGTCCTGCAGAATGGCCTTGAGGCCACCTGCCAAAGGGGTTGGAGACGCCTCGGAGAAACTCCGGGTCTCCAAGTCACACAGAAAAGCCTCGAGGGCACCTGGAAGCGAGAAAATCCTCCAAAAAGCTCCGAAACAGCAAGGCACGAGTTGGCTGCACGGGGGCTCCGCACAGCTCCGCTCTGTCCCGTCCTGTCCCGTCGCCTGCTCCGAGGAGCACTGTTGACACTGTGGCCGTGTCACCAGCAGCACCTCTGTCACCATGGGTCATAAAGGGCCCTTGAACACCCTGCCCCTTACATTCCACTGGCCACGCCCAGCGTGTCACAAAGGGCCCTGTGACACGGTGCCACGTGGCCTGGGGCCTCCCCCAGCCCGGCCAACATGCCCCACCTTGGAGGGAATCCACTCTCTGAAGTATCTAATCTGGCTGGACCTGAACTGTGGGAACGGCTCAAGAAATGAGCAAACACTCCCCTCCTGTGCCTGCTCACGGCAGCACAAGGAGCCCCCTCGGCCGCCGACGCAGCCGCAGCGGGAAGGGCACGGGGCCTTCCACATGAGCTGCCACGGCCTCCTTGGGAGAAGTGCTGGCTGGTGGCCATCCTAAACACGGGGGGTGACACCGAGAAGGAAGGTGTGGGCAAGGGTACCAATGCTGCTGGTAGCCCTTTGGCCAGGGCTGCACCCAAATCAGCAGCTGTGGCAAGTCCTGGCCCAAGGAGACCTGCCACCACCCCGAGTCCTGGCAAGGGTGCTGCCCGTCTCCTGCCCCAAAGAGCTGTCCCCCCGGGTATTAGTTCATTTGAATACATGCCCAGAATAAAGACAAGCACAACAGACATTCAAACACTACAAAAAATCTTTTATTGCAGTGAGAATAAAAAACTAGCAAAGAGAATCAAAAGCTGAAAAAGGGTATAAAAAAACTACTTTGTCAGTTGGCATTTCTACAATACTATGAACAGCTTTTAATACAGTATTAACCAGTAAAAAGGGAATTAAAAGGATTCCAAAAAAGGATATAAAACCTTTGCTTTCTCGGTTGCTTCCTATCAATAAACTGTGCTTACCCACACAGACAGGCCAGGGCTGCCAGGATCTGCAGCAGCTGGTCGGTGCCCGTGCTTAGCGGGCGTCCCCACGGAGCAACAGTCTCGAGTGAAGGATGAGCATTGCTCACCCCAGCAGTCCTGACACCCCATTTTAGCAGCTCTACATTACACCACGTAGGGCCAGGACACAGTATAAGGTGATGCCTGAGTGGCAGCCAAACCCCGCCTGTTCATCACCTGAGAGCAACAGTCTGCACATGCCCTGCTGTAGGGCAAGGGGCGAGCGACCCCTGCCCACACAATCTTCCTCTCATCATCATCTTTCTCACCCCTATGGACAACCTCTCCCATTGTGTTTCAAGGGTATTTGTGTCCATCTTGCAGCATGGGGTCAAGCCAAGAAGGAACTCAGCTCTGATCATGAGGGACATCAAGTTGACTTGCTAAAAAACACAATGGACCTTACAATTAGCTTGTGCCATGAAGTTACATTGTACAACACTCTGGCTGGTTTCACATCCTAATATATATTCTTTCTCACACCTCTATGCTCCACTGATCATCTAATTCAAAAGTATCCCCCTTACAGCATTGCAGGTCCACGTTGCTTGATTTAATGAAGATGTTGCTTGATTTAATGAAGACAGGCTCTTTGTTTATCTTGGGAGCATTAAAAGTTGTCCATCCTGGATTCATGTCTGGCTGGAATTCTGGAGCTGATACCTTTAACCCAATGCTGGTGTTGGGTGTTGCAAACATCCTGGCTGAGTGATTTTTTTTTCCTTTTAGCTGCAAGCAAGCTTTTCCTCTGCCCAGTTCCATCTAATACAATGTCTGTGGTTGTTCTCCAGTAGGGAGAAGGGTGATTTCTGGATTAACAGTTCCCTGGAAATAACAAACTCTTGGTTTCCAGGTGTCCTGCAGGAAGCCAAGTTTTTTGGCCTGGTAATGACGGCCCCAAAGCCCCAGTCCCTGATGCCCAGTGTGTGGGGCTGGCATGGTGCCTGTGCCCCACACGCTGCTCCCTTCCCTGGGGTGTGCGGGCTCTTTTCCAGGCTCCCCTGCCCCCGCAGCCAGGCTGCCATGGAGCCCTGGCCCAGCACAAGGAGCCCCCTCGGCCGCCGACGCAGCCGCAGCGGGAAGGGCACGGGGCCTTCCACACAAGCTGCCACGGCCTCCTTGGGAGAAGTGCTGGCTGGTGGCCATCCTAAACACGGGGGGTGACACCGAGAAGGAAGGTGTGGGCAAGGGCACCAATGCTGCTGGGAGCCCTTTGGCCAGGGCTGCACCCAAATCAGCAGCTGTTGCAAGTCCTGGCCCAAGGAGACCTGCCACCGCCCCGAGTCCTGGCAAGGGTGCTGCCCGTCTCCTGCCCCAAAGAGCTGTGCCCCCGGGGGACTTCTCTGCTAGAGGGCAGCCAAAGCCAAGGGGCACTGAGGTCTGCCCTCTTGCAGGTGGCTGTTGGGAGCGGCAGCTGGAGCAATTGGTGGCAAGACTTGGCATCTGTCAGAAGGCAGAAGCTGTTGCTCCTTCCTGGCATGATTTTTGGGTGGAAGTGATTAGCAGCAGCACAAAACCACCATCAGCTGCTGAGTTTCAGAGGACAAGTAGATTGGACAGAGAGACTCTCAAGCTTCCTTGTGTTCTTTTTGCTTATTTTCTTGCCTTCTGGAAAAAAAGATCAGCCCAGTCTGGCATGTTCAACACTCCAGTTGCTGTGTGCTCAGCTGTGGCCAGCAGCTGATGTCCAGTCCATTGGGGAAGTGCAGGGGACAGGGAGAAGTCTGGGATGAGAAGCTGCTCTGTGTCTCCCATGAAGGTGCCACCCGCCTGAAGGAGCAGCCAAGAGAAGTGCTGGAAGCAGAGACGTTCTGCCAGTTTCTGCTCTCAGGTGGACACAGGGCCCACTTGTTGCCAGGGGTCTCGGAGATTGGATCCAGGAACAAGGCAGGGCCATGCACTGGTAGGAAATGGGCTCCAGCAGGACCAAAGGAGGAACGTCCAGCAGCAAAGTGTGAGCTGGTGAACTGGGCCATCTTTTCAGCAGACGCCACAGTGCTTCCTTGCCTCCATCCCTGAAGCTCTGCCACATGAGGCCCTGCTTTGCTTCAGCTTCTGCTGCTTCTTCCTTTGTTGCCCTCAAGTGCTGGACGTAGAGTTTAGAAGCCCATGCCCGTGTTTTGAAGGTGCCTGCGTGGAGGAGAGGTTGAGCAGCTGCAGCCCGAGGCTGGTGTCCCAGCAGAGTCTCTAAGGATGGCACCAATGGCGCTGGCTGGGGACAGCTGAGTGTGGAAGGCACGTCCAGCCTCAAGCAGGGCCATTGAAGTCAGTCAGGAGGACAGGCTGCAGCTGAAGCTGCCCAGGGTTGCTGTGAGGCTGGGGAGTCACTGGAAAGCTGTGGTGGCCACTTGGCCTGAAGCCTTTTGCCAAAGCGGGTGCAATTGTGCCCACAGTCTGGCCACTTTTGGCGTCCTGGCGGGTGTGGGTGCCTGGGTGAGGAGGCCCAGGCGTTGTGGGTGCTGCTGCTCCTGGGCAGCCTCTGGTGCTGTTGTGTGTGGGGCGCGGAGCCGCTTGGGCAGCAGCGAGTGCGCAGGCCTGCCCGAGGAGCCCAGCGCCCTGCCCGTGGTGGCAGCAGCTCTGCGGGCCCAGAGCTCTGGCTCAGCGGGGTGTCGGCCACAGCCCCGTGGCCTGGGCAGCCGCGGGGGCCCGGGCTGGCCGCCAGCCCTGCCCGTGCCACTGCCCCTGGCCGGCAGCACCCGGCAGACGTACCCCAGCAGGGCCCCCTTGCCCTCCTTGTCCCCAGCCAGGCCAGCCTGGCCCCCTTGGGGCTGTGCCCACCCTGCTGCTGAGGCCTCCAGGGCTTCTGCCACAGGGCTGGGAGATGCCTCGGGAAAGCACCAGAGCAGCCGGCTGGCAGGGAAGGAGGTGGTTGCCTGGGGGCTGCCTATGGCCTCTGCCCCCCAAGTCCTGGGGCCTTTTCCCTCCACCCTGCCCCTCGGGGCCTGTGCCCAGTCTGTCCCCTCGCAGCCTTCTGCCACCCACCCCCTCCCAGATTCCCCTCAAGGCTTCCCGCTCCCTTGTCCCATCAGGGCCTCCGCAGCACCTCACCCCTTCCTGGCCTCCCAGCGCCCCCTCCCCTGCGGCTCTCCCCCAGCCCCGCCAACCTGCCCGGCAGCGGCGCAGCCCTGAAGGGGCTCCAGAGGAGCCGCTCCAGAGGCACTTGGGAGCCCGGAGCAATCCAGCCAGCAACACACAGGCAGGACACAGACGCTGCTTCCTGCCTGGGGGAGGGCTTGTGGCCATCTCCAAGGACAAGGTCCTCAGGGATCCCCACAGCTCCAGCCTCTGCCCCTCCACTCTGCTGCAAGTGTTGAGGCTCCAGGAGAGCCACCAAAGGCCAAGGGGCTTCTGCTCCCTTTTGCTGGCACGCTGTACGTAAATGTTGTTGAGCACAGGGAGCCCTTTTCCCCTCTTCCCCAAGGCCCTGTGCACACTGGGCACCAAAAAAAAGCTCCTGGGCCTCTGTTTGTGATAACATGTTGGTTGTATTCCCATGCTGGGCTCAAAGGAGGTGCTTGCAGGGAAGAGGCATCTTCCCCACAGGCTCACGTGGCCCCAGGAGATGGAGCTTCCCTCATCAGTTCTCCACAGAGCTGCAGCAGCACAGGCAGACACTGCCCTGCGGAAAAGGCCGGGTCTTCCACGTCCTGCACAGCCAGTCTTGGAGCTGCTGGAATCTGGAGTAGGGAGCCGTCTGTACAGCTCTTTGCACGTAGCAGTGTTGAATTGCCAGGCCTGCCATGGCGAGTCTGATGTCACCTGTCACGCCTCTACGGGCTGGAAGAGGCAGGAATGGAGACTACCAGAATGGGAAGAATGGAGTTCTCCGTACAGCTCTGATGATGTGGAGCGTTTGAAGTGCCAGGTTTGAGACGGCAGGGCTGTCATCAGTCATGCCTTGAAGGGCTGGAAGAGAAAGGAAAGAGAGCCAAGGTGAGGCCAGGGGTGGGGGGACGCGAGGAGCCCCTCCTGCCCGGGCCATCCCAGGCAGCTCTTGCCATGGGCAGGAGGGAGCAGGGCCCAAGGGGATCAGCTGGAAGGTGCCTTCCCTCACCCTGGCAGATGAGCTGCAGCTCTGGCTGCTCCTGCTTCATGGACCTGGCGGCGATCCCTGGGAAGACAGAGGCTGTCAGGGCCCCAGAGGCACAGGTCCCCCCCATGGGGACGCCCCAGGGCTGGGCTGGCCCAGGGCGGCAGCAGGCCCCAGGCCACTCGGGGCTCCACATGCCCTGGGCCGCATCCTGCTGCCGCTGCAGCAGCCGGGGCTGGGGCCGAGCTGCAGCGGGGCGGGGAGGGACCCCGGCCTTGTGGCTCACCCAGGAACTTGATGGCCAGCTTTTGCAGGGGCTCCTCTGGGCTCTCCAGGTACGGCAGGGCCTGGCGCACGTACTGGCCCACTCGGCTCCTGTCCTTTTCCAGCTGCAAAGAGCGCCAGGGCAGGGAGGGAAGGCTCGGCTCAGGCTCTGCCCCTTGGCCGGGCGCTCCCTGCCCCCAGCACGGGGCTCCCCTGCCCGCAGAGCCCTGAGGCCCGGCCAGCAGCCGCTGGGGCCGGGCTTTGGGGGGAGCAGAGGGCTGGGTGCTCCTGGGGAGCCAGGGACTGGGGCTTTGGGGCCGTCCTTACCAGGCACTCGCCAAACCTCCAGGGCTGCTCCATGGTCACCAGGTGCTCAAGATCCCTCCACTTCAGGAACCTGGCTGCACCAAACAGTGCTTCCCGAGAGGCCTGCAGAGCAACAGAGAGCGGGCCATGGCACCGCAGCCCAGGGCACAGCACCCGCATCCCTGCACCAAGGCCAGGAGGAGGCTGCAGGCGACCGTGGGCCAGGGCAGGTGGCACAGCAGCCTCCTGCCATGGGGACACCAGAGCCCACAAGTCCTCACCTCTGCCACACGCTGGTTCTCATCGTGCCAGTTGAAGTAGAATGGCACCAGCCTCAGGTAGATGTGTGGCTTTAGGCTCTTGCTCCTCTCTGTTGCCTGCATCACCTCTCGGAAGAGGACCATGGAGAGCTGCTGCAGCTGGCTGTGCTCCTGCTGCAAAGGAAGAGTGAAAGACCTCAGCACAGGCTTCTCCAGGCCCACTGGGGCACAGGCCTGAAAAGACACTGGGCCCAAAGTTTCCTGGCAGCACTCAGTGCCCACGATGAGGGACATAGAGCCTTACATTGTCAAAGAGTGGCCGCAGAGCCTCAAGCAACTTCAGGGCAGTGGGGCTGGATATTTGGATGGTCTTCAAGTGCAGCACATTGATCAACGCAGAGAGGGTCATCTCAACCGCGTCTGTGTCTGCATCCTGCAGTAGCTCCAGGAGGCCTTCATTCAGGCTCCAGATGCTCTTAGCCTGTGTGGAAGACAATGCTGTGGTGCAGCCCCACGCTGCTGCTGCGGGGCCCAGAGGCCAAAGGCGCGTCTGAAAGGAGTCGGGCAGCTGAACGGGGAGGAGGAGAGCTGGGAGCAGCTGGCACAGCTGCCAAAGGCCAGCCAAGGCCAAGCTACTGCCTTGCACAGCCGCACGCTGCCGGCCCGGCTTCAGCCCCTGCCCCCTGCTCACCAGTGCGGGAGCCTTGCTGATCACCAGCAGGCCTCGGAGCGCCAGGCGACGCCTCTCGGGGCACTCACTGCGCAGGCGCCTTGAAATAATCTGCAGGACGCTGAGCCCACATTGTCTGGGGTTCAGGCAGTGCAGCACCTGAAAGGCAGGGAGCAGTGACGGGGTGCCCGGCCGGCAGGAGCCCGGACCCGCCCGGGGCTGGGCCCAGGCAGCAGCACAGGGTGCAGGCACCATCCCAGGCGGCTGCGGCTGTGAGAGGGCAGAGAGGGGGAGGCAGCTGGGCCAGGCAGCGCTCGCCATCAGGCTCACCTCCACCAGGAACACCAGGGCAGGCAGTTCCCACAGGGGCTCTTCCCTGCTGAGCCGCGGGAGCAGGTTGGCGGCGACGCTGCGGCAGAAGGAGTGCGAGACACGGCACAGCTCCCTGCAAGGGGGAATAAAGGCGCCAGAGACCCTGAGCCAGGTGGGCAAAGCTCTCCTGGGACTGACTCACACAGGCCTGATCTTTGGCCACCAGCCCGGGAGGGGACATGGGCGCTTTGGGAGGTGGCTCCTCCTGTGCAGCCGCCCCTCTCCGCCTTTGCCACTCTGCTCAGCCATCCCTGGCTGCCAAGGCCCTCTGGCCCAGCAGCACGGGCACTGTGTGGGGTGGCCTGTGCACAGGGCAGGAATGCCGGGGGCAGTGGGGAGAAAGGGCTCTCACCTGGCCAGCAGACCCACTGCATAGTGGTGGGTGTCAGCCTTGAGGAGCGTGTCCCAGCCACACTTGCGATGGATCACCATCACCACGTCCTCATCCAGCAGCTGGCGCAGCAGGGCTTTCACGGTCTGCACTGCAAACCTGTGTGCAGAGCACAGCCCAGGTCAGGCGCAGAGCCCCGGCCCCAGCCCCGAGGGCGTGGCAGGGAGAGAGGACTGGGATGGAGCACCTGTTGGGGTTGGGGGGAAGGCTGCGCTGCTCCCGGCATCGCCCCCAGAAGGTCTCGACCTCCTCTGACATCTCCTCTGTGCTGATGAAAACTTGGAAGAGCAGAGTCAGAAGGAGGCGGGGCAAATTGGTCTTCACTGCCCCTGGGCACCAGGGCAGCTGGAGGATCTCCCAGAGTGCCACAGTTGCCTGCCAAAGACAAAGCACCCAGAGACAGCTCTCAGGGCCCAGATGTCCATGTGGTAGGGCCCCAGCGTGGCAGGGAGAGGCCAGGGGAGACACAGGGGGATCCCCCGGCCTGCTGGCCCTGAACTTGCCCCTAAGCCAGGGTTGCAGCCTGGTGCCTGAGGCAGGGAGAAGCAGTGGTGAGGGAGGATGAAAAGGTATCCCA